TAATTCTTGGTAAGAAAGCCAATATTTCTGAACGCACAGAATAAATTCTTTCACTTGCTTTATTTTTAATTCTCAGTAAAAAAATCTCTTTACGATAATTTTTAAAAGCATTTTACAGAAACATACGAGTATCCACTGAACTATAATGTAATCATATGGTCTTTTTTACATCAGAAAATCACCTTCCATTGACTGTGAAAATGCCCCAAAGCCTGGAATACATACTATTTTAATCATATTTTTATGCTCTCAATTTTTAAGCTGTCATATTTATGTAAAGCACAGAACGTTATTGTTACGAGTCTGTTGATTACCTTAAGGAGTTCTGTACTGCCACGGTGATCAGACAAACACAGCAGCATACCATGTAATATTGCTGTTTGACATGCTCTTCTTTTGTCATTGTTGCAGGCACTAAATCCTGTCAACAGGTAGATGATAATAGAATTTGAATTTCAAACCATGAAAAAAGAATATCAAAACAATATCTGTAATAAGGCTTCACTAACCAACTCTATGTGAACAATGTACTGTCTACAGTGTATTTGTTGCAAGTGAAATTCATATGAGAAAAGATGATCTTTTAATATAAGACATGTCAAGTTCCTAGGGCAAAGCACTGAAGTGATAAAAGATGTTCTTTTAAGGTTGATGTAGTCGTATGTATTTAAGGGTGTGATGCTCAAACATTACTGTGGTTTTGGCAAATTAGTTTGAGTTATTATTTTCTCGTTTTCCCCTTTTTCAGAATGTGACCTTGTATTTTATACCACTATTCTACATGTATGTGAAATGACATCACCTTTCACTCTGCAATCATTCTCTTTTTTTGGATTATTTCTCTTTTAAGCATTCAAGCTTAAAGGTTACTGTTAAGAGAAATGGAGGAGTGAGGCTAGGTCAGGGCCTAAAGGTTCTTTCTGCTTTATGGGACTTTCTGTAATTAGAGAATGATCCTGTCTCAAATCAGCAGGCTTGCATGGCCACATACCCTCTAATATCATCTAACGTGCTGAATACACAAGTGCAGTAGCAGACGATTAGACAAACTGTGGTGCAATACTGAGATCAGTATTAAGTCCTTAGTATTTTTATGCCAAGAAATACCATAGGCTCTCTGTAGAATGTATTCTGCAATAAATACCCTGGTTAGTCATCATGGGTGTGTCAACACAGCAAAGAAGAACCTGTGGCTGGCCCATGCCAGCCAACTCAGCCTCATGGGGCTCGAGCTGCAGGGCTGTTTCAATGCCGTGTAGACTTCTGGGCTCAGGCGGACACCCGGGCTCTCGGACCTTGTGGGAGATCAGATTTAGCACTTTTTCCTCTTTGCAAATGGTCCACCAACCATTTATGACTTTCTGTTAATTAGTTCTTTATTCATGTTCTACAAATATTTTAATGCACATATGTGGGCCTGCCAGGACGGTATGGTTTCTATTCCTTGACCGGATGACCTAAACTTTTATGAACAAGAGTAGTGCTTGAAGAAATCATTAAGACATTGAACCTCCATGGAAGATGTTGAGGAGCACTTTAGGGAGAGCAAGAAATGAGCTGGCCTATGAAATTTTAGAGCTTTTAACATCTTTTCCTGTCCTCTTTTGCACAAAGAATCAGAAAATTCTGATAAAAAAAAATGTTTCGTTGGAAGAGAAAAGCAAAATTTCACTGAAACATTTTTCATCTGAATTTGCTGATTCATCAAAATCAAAACAGTTTGCAGGGACAGTTTGATGTTGACAAAGTTCTGATGGAATCTCTGGTTTTCTGATTGATCACTGGCCCAGCTCCTTGGCAGCTTACGTGGCAGGCTGCTGGAGAACCTGGGCTTCCAGACCCAGAGCTCCTTGCCAGTCTAGGCTTTTCAGGCTAACGGGGTCCCCTACTCTGTGGCAGCCCACCAAGTGAGAAGCCTAAGAGTTGGTGACCCCGGGCTTCCAACTCCTGGGCCAGCTGGCTTTCTCTTGTGCAGAGAATTTCATTTTTTTTTTGTTCTTGTACCTAATCAGAAGGAAACAAAATATCAAAATCCTCTGTGAAATGGAATCACCATTTTCCTCTCTACTTCTCTCTAATTCCATCCCACTTCCTCTATTCCTCTCTGTTCTTTTACACAACCTGACTACTGCTGGTGAGGGAGTCTCCACCGTAGGCTCCTGGCATCCTGAATACATTTCTATCATATTCCATCTTATCAACACTCCATCAGAACATTGCTTTCATTTTGTATTTTAATAAGGCGAGTTCAACACCATAAAGCATTCTTAGATATGCTTTATAAAATTAAGCTTGTTTTGTATTACATTTTAGGTTCAGTCAAACTTTTTTTTCTGCAAAGCTAAATGAAATCTTTTTGAATCTTTTAAAATTTCACAATCTCAAAGCAGAGTGGAATGGGACAGTATGAGAAAATGTGAAAAGAAGAAATCATCACAGGAAGATCACTACAAGGTGTCTTGATTTGAAATAGGCTCAGCGCGTCCCAGAAAACCTCACAAGGCTTACCAAAGACATGTCTTAGGTTGCCAAGCATCTTTACATAGCTAATTTCAAACTTCCATTTTAATACAGTCCCAGCTAAATAACTAATTCATTTTCCCGTTTATAAAAAGAATTCCAAGAAAGATTACAGTAGGCTCAGTTTACTGTCTTTTTCCATCTCCCAACCCACATCTCTCCAATAAATAACATTTAAATTAAAAACATCACCTTTTATTCTATTCCTGACAATATCACTGAATATTGTTGTCCTGAGAACTGCATGCTACCTTGGGAAGGTAATGACATATAAAAATATACCATAAGAAAGTATACATAATATATGTTTTCACAGCATGCTGTATATGCCATTGTTTCTGAGGGACCATAATATGTAATTTGAAGAAAATGGTTTCAAATGCAGGTGTTGACTTAGATAATAATAGATGAGGACTTCACATTTGAAATGCAGACATCAATATTGACCCAGGTATTTTTCCAACATCACACTGTTTTACTTAAAAACAACCTCATATAAAGGTGGTATTCACAGAGTTCTTGTTACTTTTCAATGATTGAATCATAATTTGGGACAGTGGCCAGTATTTTGAGATTATTTTGCTTTTGGGCTTGTTAAATATTACAGCTTTGTTGGAAAGCTTTGCCTTGCCTCTATAAAGCGTTTATTTTTTCTGGCTCCTCTTTAATGTCTTTGAGAAAGCATTTATTTATACGCACAGCTCCTTTCTCTTCTGTTTTTAATTAGTAGTTTGGAGGTGTTTTTTTTCTGAACAGGCTGTGTAACAAAAAGCGGTACTTTTGACATTCATGCCTAGGGGACAGAGGATCAGAACTAAGGCAAAAGACAATAGATACTGACTTACGATATACTGTATGTGACAAAACAGGAGAAAATACTGGAAATATTAATTGCTGGGATTTTGTCTCAATTATGTTGGCTTCTGTGTTTGAAAAAACAAAATAATCATGAAAAGGTATGACATTAAGTATACTTACTGAACAATCTATTTTATTCTATGTGCTGCATGGCAATAAGAAAATGTGCTAATTTAACAGGTTGAGCTGTACAAAGACAAGGCTGGAAAATAATATTTCTTGGAACAGCCCAGCAAAGATGCAACTCTTAACAACAGAACAAAAGTAGCATTCTAAGGCACACTGTGCTGCAATCCATCATTTATGAATTATAGTGTGTTTCCTAATCAAGGAAATATTCACTGTAAAACTGCAAGCAACACTTTTATATTTGCATCCTTCTATGAAAATGCCACCCACCTGTCTGGCATTTGGGACACCACCAGTTGAACAGAAGAGGAGAACACAGCTGAGGAGATGCAGGTGTGCCCCTTTCTTTCAGAGTCTCTAGCCATTCATTGGGTAGCTTGGGAAAGAAGGGAGTTGATTGGTCCCTTGCACTCCCTGCTCATTAATTTAAACCCTAGCCCAGGCCATGTGGATCCTCTTTTTGCTCCATTCCAGCAGCTCCACCCTTCCTACCCTGTACTAGTAACCTCAGAGCTATTTCACAGAGGCTGTGAATCTGACCAATCATCTGTTTTGGGGTCTGAAAAGAATTTTTTCTTCCCACAGGACCAAACTGGCATAGGCCTGGGGAGTTTTTCACCTTCCTCGTAGCATTCTGGAAGTGCAGTTAGGTTAAATAGGAATAGGATTTAATAATTTGTGATAAGTACTTGGTAGCGAAGTTAGTTCGACACTATTTGCGGCCAGTCTCCAGTGCAGTTAAAAGGTTACAAGGGAAGGTTACCAGAAGTAGAAGATGTGTGATTCTACTGATTGGCCTTGTGCTCATGGGATAGGTCTTTTGGCCTTCATAAGCCAAGGTTCCCCCTTGTAGTTCCCTCTGTCCCTCTCCTTGTGGGGGCGGGAGGGACTGTTGAACTCAGATGAGCAAGCTGAGTCCTAGGAGTAGGCTGAGGAGAGTCTACCCTGAATTATGGGTTCTATGGTAGAGGTCCTGTAACCAATGCACTGGAACTACTTAAAATGCCTGGTAGGTGAAAGTCTGGGTGACAGGGCAGGCAGTGCCCGTCTGGTACATTTTAATAAAACTACAGCCAGCATCTTAAAATGCATCCCTATATTTCTCCTTATTCACCACCTTGTCTACATCAGTGAAGTGTTTCCAGGAACATTTTTCACATCTGTGGAAATGTCATCACAGATGGGTACATATTTTTCACTTTCTAGATTTCAGTGAAAATTTTACATGCTTTTCAAGACACAAACTGGACTGTTTGTGTATCATCACATTGCTGAAGTTACATGTTTTCCGCAGATTCCCTGGTTGCCTGATCCAGCTCATGTGCTCAAAGTCTTTTGCAGATGCTTTTTGTCTACCATGGTGTAATTAAATCTTAATCCTACCACTCTCATCTGGAGTTTTTTCCACTGACTTCAGTGGTCTTTGGATCAGGCCCCAACTGCACAGGTTATAGTCATAATGCTTTGGTTACACATTAAGCCCTGGTCTACACTAGGACTTTAGGTCGAATTTAGCAGCGTTAAATCGATTTAAACCTGCACCCGTCCACACAATGAAGCCCTTTATTTCGACTTAAAGGGCTCTTAAAATCGATTTCCTTACTCCACCCCTGACAAGTGGATTAGCGCTTAAATCGACGTTGCCGGCTCGAATTTGGGGTACTGTGGACACAATTCGATGGTATTGGCCTCCGGGAGCTATCCCAGAGTGCTCCATTATGACTGCTCTGGACAGCACTCTCAACTCAGATGCACTGGCCAGGTAGACAGGAAAAGAACCACGAACTTTTGAATCTCATTTCCTGTTTGGCCAGCGTGGCAAGCTGCAGGTGACCATGCAGAGCTCATCAGCACAGGTGACCATGATGGAGTCCCAGAATCGCAAAAGAGCTCCAGCATGGACCGAACGGGAGGTACGGGATCTGATCGCTGTTTGGGGAGAGGAATCCGTGCTATCAGAACTCCGTTCCAGTTTTCGAAATGCCAAAACCTTTCTGAAAATCTCCCAGGGCATGAAGGACAGAGGCCATAACAGGGACCCGAAGCAGTGCCGCGTGAAACTGAAGGAGCTGAGGAAAGCCTACCAGAAAACCAGAGAGGCGAACAGCCGCTCTGGGTCAGAGCCCCAAACATGCCGCTTCTATGATGAGCTGCATGCCATTTTAGGGGGTTCAGCCACCACTACCCCAGCCGTGTTGTTTGACTCCTTCAATGGAGATGGAGGCAATACGGAAGTAGGTTTTGGGGACGAAGAAGATGATGATGAGGAGGTTGTAGATAGCTCACAGCAAGCAAGCGGAGAAACCGGTTTTCCCGACAGCCAGGAACTGTTTCTCACCCTAGACCTGGAGCCAGTACCCCCCGAACCCACCCAAGGCTGCCTCCTGGACTCAGCAGGCGGAGAAGGGACCTCTGGTGAGTGTACCTTTTAAAATGCTATACATGGTTTAAAAGCAAGCATGTGAAAGGATTACTTTGCCCTGGCATTTGCGGTTCTGCCTTTGCAAAAGGTTTCTGGGGAACCTTTATTATTTCGTCCTTCATGGTAGGACACTTTACCACTCCAGGCCAGTAACACGTACTCAGGAATCACTGTAGAACAAAGCATTGCAGTGTATGTTTGCTGGCATTCAACCAAAATCCGTTCACGCGGTGGGAGGAGGCAAAATGCGACCTTGTAACGAAAGCACATGTGCTATGTATGTAATGTTAACAGCAAGGTTTACCCTGAAAGAGTGTAGCGACTGTTTTATAAAATGTGTCTTTTTAAATACCGCTGTCCCTTTTTTTTTCTCCACCAGCTGCATGTGTTTCAATGATCACAGGATCTTCTCCTTCCCAGAGGCTAGTGAAGCTTAGAAAGAAAAAAAAACGCACTCGCGATGAAATGTTCTCCGAGCTCATGCTGTCCTCCCACACTGACAGAGCACAGACGAATGCATGGAGGCAAATAATGTCAGAGTGCAGGAAAGCACAAAATGACCGGGAGGAGAGGTGGAGGGCTGAAGAGAGTAAGTGGCGGGCTGAAGAGAGGGCTGAAGCTCAAAGGTGGCGGCAGCGTGATGAGAGGAGGCAGGATTCAATGCTGAGGCTGCTGCAGGACCAAACCAGTATGCTCCAGTGTATGGTTGAGCTGCAGCAAAGGCAGCTGGAGCACAGACTGCCACTGCAGCCCCTCTGTAACCAACCGCCCTCCTCCCCAAGTTCCATAGCCTCCACACCCAGACGCCCAAGAACGCGGTGGGGGGGCCTCCGGCCAACCAGCCACTCCACCACAGAGGATTGCCCAAAAAAAAGAAGGCTGTCATTCAATAAATTTTAAAGTTGTAAACTTTTAAAGTGCTGTGCTTAAAGTGCTGTGTGGCATTTTCCTTCCCTCCTCCACCACCCCTCCTGGGATACCTTGGTAGTCATCCCCCTATCTGTGTGATGAATGAATAACGAATGCTTGACTGTGAAGCAGCAATGACTTTATTGGCTCTGCAAGCAATGATCAAAGGGAGGAGGGGAGGGTGGTTAGCTTACAGGGAAGTAGAGTGAACCAAGGGGCGGGGGGGTTCATCAAGGAGAAACAAACAGAACTTTCACACCGTAGCCTGGCCAGTCATGAAACTGGTTTTCAAAGCTTCTCTGATGCGTACCGCGCCCTCCTGTGCTCTTCTAACCGCCCTGGTGTCTGGCTGCACGTAACCAGCAGCTAGGCGATTTGCCTCAACCTCCCACCCCGCCATAAACGTCTCCCCCTTACTCTCACAGATATTGTGGAGCACACAGCAAGCAGTAATAACAGTGGGAATATTGATTTCGCTGAGGTCTAAGCGAGTCAGTAAACTGCACCAGCGCGCCTTTAAACGTCCAAATGCACATTCTACCACCATTCTGCACTTGCTCAGCCTGTAGTTGAACAGCTCCTGACCACTGTCCAGGCTGCCTGTGTATGGCTTCATGAGCCATGGCATTAAGGGGTAGGCTGGGTCCCCAAGGATACATATAGGCATTTCAACATCCCCAACAGTTATTTTCTGGTCTGGGAATAAAGTCCCTTCCTGCAGCTTTTGAAACAGACCAGAGTTCCTGAAGATGCAAGCATCATGCACCTTTCCCGGCCATCCCACGTTGATGTTGGTGAAACGTCCCTTGTGATCCACCAGAGCTTGCAGCACTATCGAAAAGTACCCCTTGCGGTTTATGTACTCGGCGGCTTGGTGCTCCGGTGCCAATATAGGGATATGGGTTCCGTCTATAGCCCCACCACAGTTAGGGAATCCCATTGCAGCAAAGCCATCCACTATGACCTGCACATTTCCCAGGGTCACTACCCTTGATATCAGCAGATCTTTGATTGCGTGGGCTACTTGCATCACAGCAGCCCCCACAGTAGATTTGCCCACTCCAAATTGATTCCCAACTGACCGGTAGCTGTCTGGCGTTGCAAGCTTCCACAGGGCTATCGCCACTCGCTTCTCAACTGTGAGGGCTGCTCTCATCTTGGTATTCATGCGCTTCAGGGCAGGGGAAAGCAAGTCACAAAGTTCCATGAAAGTGCCCCTACGCATGCGAAAGTTTCGCAGCCACTGGGAATCGTCCCAGACCTGCAACACTATGCGGTCCCACCAGTCTGTGCTTGTTTCCCGAGCCCAGAATCGGCGTTCCACAGCATGAACCTGCCCCATTAGCACCATGATGCATGCATTGTCAGGGCCCATGCTTTCAGAGAAATCTGTGTCCATGTCCTGATCACTCACGTGACCGCGCTGACGTCGCCTCCTCGCCCGGTATCGCGTTGCCATGTTCTGGTGCTGCATATACTGCTGAATAATGCGTGTGGTGGTTAATGTGCTCCTAATTGCCAAAGTGAGCTGAGCGGGCTCCATGCTTGCCGTGGTATGGCGTCTGCACAGGTAACTCAGGAAAAAGGCGCAAAATGATTGTCTGCCCTTGCTTTCATGGGGGGGGGAGGGAGGGAACGGGGGGCTGACGATATGTACCCAGAACCACCCGCGACAATGTTTTAGCCCCATCAGGCATTGGGATCTCAACCCAGAATTCCAATGGGCAGCGGAGACTGCGGGAACTGTGGGATAGCTACCCACAGTGCAATGCTCCGGAAGTCGACGCTTGCCTCAGTACTGTGGAAGCGCTCCGCCGAGTTAATGCACTTAATGCACTTTAGAGCATTTTCTGTGGGGACACACACACTCGAATATATAAAACCGATTTCTAAAAAAAACGACTTCTATAAATTCAACTTAATTTCGTAGTGTAGACATACCCTAAGAATAATGGGAAATTATCCTGATTGGAGACCACATCAGAAGGTCTTTAAACTGTCCATGCTGTTGCTGCTGCTGCCTCTGTCAGAGCGGTTTTCTGTCATCTGGCTTGGTACCCACTTCTCTTTTTTTGTGCAACATGGAGTTGGGCTCTCAGGAGCAGATCTGAGTACACCTCCTTGTGAATGATCATCAAGTGTATCCTCATCACTGTGTTCCCTATGTGTGGCACAGGACTACAGCTAACCTTGTGCATTTACCATAATAACACCACAAGCCCCATTCTCATCAAAGATTAAATATCAAGCTTTTGATACAATCTCCTACAGTATTCTTGACAGCAAGTTAAAGAAGTATGGATTGGATGAATGGACTACAACATGGACAGAAAGCTGGCTAGACTGTCGGGCTCAGTGGGTAGTGATCAACGGCTCAATGTCTAGTTGGTAGCTGGTATCAGGCAGAGTGCCCCAGGGGTCAGTCCTGGGGCCAGTTTTGTTCAACATCTTTATTAATGATCTGGATGATGGGATGAATTGCACCCTCAGCAAGTTCGCAGATGACACTAAGCTTGGGGGAGAAGTAGATACACTGGAGGGTAGGGATAGGGTCCAGAGTAACCTAGACAAATTGGAGGATTGGGACCAACTGGCTAAGCAGCAGTTCTGCAGAAAAGGACCTGGGGATTACAGTGGATGAGAAACTGGATATGAGTCAGCAATGTGCCCTTGTTGCCAAGAAGACCAAAGACATACTGGGCTATATTAGTAGGAGCATTGCCAGCAGATCAGGGAAGTGATTATTCCCCTCTATTCGGCACTGATGAGGCCACACCTGGAGTATTGTGTCCAGTTTTGGTCCCCCCCCCCCCGCCCACTACAGAAGGGATGTGGACAAATTGGAGAGAGTCCCGTGGAGGGCAATGAAAATGATTAGGGGGCTGGGGCACATGACTTATGAGGAGAGGCTGAGGGAACTGGGGTTATTTAGTCTGCAGAAGAGAAGAGTAAGAGGGGATTTGATATCAGCCTTCAACTACCTGAAAGGGGTGGGGGGGTTCCAAAGAGGATGGAGCTAGGCTGTTCTCAGTGGTGGTAGATGACAGAACAAGAAGCAATGGTCTCAAGTTGCAGTGGGGGAGGTCTAGGTTGGCTATTAGGAAACACTATTTCACTAGGAGGTTGGTGACGCACTGGAATGGGTTATCTAGGGAGGTGGTGGAATCTCCATCCTTCGAGGTTTTTAAGGCCTGGCTTGACAAAGCCCTGGCTGGGATGATTTATTTGGTGTCGGTCCTGCTTTGAGCAGGGAATTGGACTAGGTGACCTCCTGAGGTCTCTTCTAATCCTAATATTCTATGATTCTATGATCACCAAACTCTATATATTCTTTCCTCCTGTCTTCCACCATCCATACCCTTCTTTTGGTTCAGAGTTGATGTAAAGAGTAGCCAAAGGAAGCCATTTTTGCTGCACCGCATCAATTTTACTTTTCCTTCAAAACCAAAGAACTATGGAACATAGACTTCAAAGCAATCTACTAGCACCTTATCTATTAACCAACGATTTACATATCTCTCCTGCCCGCATAAAACACTATGGCTGTGTGACAGAGAGATACCATACTCTGTGTTTTCTTTTGCCATAGGTCCACTGGAGGTATATTTCTTTACATTCACACTACTGTACTATTCAGTGTCTGGTATGAAACTGGGTACCTTTGTATTTATTTTCTTCTTCTCAATGCCTTGAAAATAATGCCAAGAAGAATATTTCAGTTTGGATCCCAGTCTCTTCAATTTTGCTTTTTCATTTGTTGTTTTTTCATGTTGGTTGTTGATCATTTTGAGATACTCATTTTATAGAGTAGACCTGAACACCATGGGTGGCCTGAATGAAGCAATAAGATCTGATTTGACTGGAGAATTGAATACATTAACTTTGATCCTTCAAAAAGTAGGCTCATATTTTATGAGATATTTCCAAACAACAGAGAAACGGATTCTTTCCATCAGCCTGAAACAATGAATAAAGTATATTTGGATCCCACCCCCGGGCTCAGAAAGTGACAATGTGGCATCTGTTATATCACTTCAGTGCTAAGAAATATTAAGAGCATAGAGTATTCACATAAGAAACTGACACTTCTAGAACATTGACTGTAAAATGTTTATAGAAAATGGTAACATTATCTTTATAGGAAATAGGAATATAAGTCATTGTGTATCTTCTGTTGTCATACCAAGACCGGTACATGCCCTCTTGTGGGACTTTGGAGACATCAACCATTAATAGCTGTGTTACATTTGCTTCGGAATGGAGATGTGTGCAAGTACAATTTAGAAATGAATTCACAACATCAGGGATAAGTGAAGGATGCTTTGAGAGAGAAACAGGAAGTTGTAACCTGAATCCTGCAATGAGGCAGCAAATAAACATGCGTTGGCGTAAATTACGTAGGTGCCCAGACATTTAAATCATCCATTTGGTGATGGAGACTTGAACTATTTGTTTTTGAAGTTTAACATCTTACAATGAGCTTTGTCATTTTTAGTATTTAACATAACGGTAATCACAAAATAATAAAATGGTATAAGATCTTCTCTACCTAGGGCTGTTGACTGATCACAGTTAACTCATGTGATTAACTCAGAAAAATTAATCATGATTAAAAAAAGTAATCGCGATTAATTGCAGTTTTAATTGCAGTGTTAAACATTTGTCTACATTTTCAGATATGTTTATTTCAATTACTAACACAGAATACAAAGTGGACAGTGCTCACTTTATATTATCATTTTTATTACAAATATTTGCACTGTAAAAATGATAAATAAAAGAAATAGTATTTTTCAATTCAGCTCATACCATACCATAATGCAATCTCTATCTTGAAAGTGCAACTTACAAATATAGATTTTGTTGCTACATAACTGTACTCAAAAATAAAACAATGTAAAATTTTAGAGCCTACAAGTCTACTCAGACCTACTTCTTGTTCAACCAATCGCTCAGACAAACAAGTTTATTTACATTTACGGGAGCTAATGCTGCCCATTTCTTATTTACAATGTCACGTGAGAGTGAGAACAGGTGTCTACATGGCACTTTTGTAGCCAGCATTGCAATGTATTTACATGCCGAATATGCTAAACATTCGTATGCCCCTTCGTGCTTCAGCCACCATTTCAGAAGACATGCTTCCATGCTGATGATGCTCGTTAAAAAAAAATGCATCAATTAAATTTTTGACTGAACTCCTTGGGGTGTAAGTTCAACTTCCATGATAAAGCGATTACACTACAGTACTTGTATTAGGTGAATTGAAAAATACTATTTCTTTTGTTTTTTACAGTGCAAGTATGTGTAATCAAAAATAAATATAAAGTGAGTGATTTGTATTCTGCATTGTAATTGAAATGAATATATTTTAAAATGTAGAAAACATCAAAAATATTTAAATAAATTATATTCTATTATTGTTTAATAGCACGATTAATCGCAGGATAAATCACGATTAATTTTTTTTATCGCTTGACAGCCCTAATCTGAATGTCTGCATGGTAT